GGACGGATGGTAGTTGGTCTGGATAATTAGGGTTGTGCTGGGTTGGGACAAGGTGTGATGGGATTGGCTTGGCTATAGTTGGTTTGGGCTGGGGAGGGCTCAGGTAGGTTGGCGTGGCTATTTTGAGTTGAATTTGGGTTGGTTGGGGTGGGTTTTGGGATATGGTGGGGTGAATTGGGTTGTTTTATGCTTCAGTGAGTGTATGCTTTCTTTTGCAGTGATATTAAGCAATTGCAAGATTCCAGGGTTGAGATTTCTCAGCTTTTCAGCTGATTTAAGCTTTTTTGGGGTGTTGAATTTCAGCTTTTTTCCTCACTGGCTGTGTACAAAAGTATAGGAGATTTTCACAGTTCAGCTTCTTTTTGTCTTTATCAGTCATTTTCAGCTATTTTTATCATTGGTCAATCCCTTCCCTGAGATTCCCATATATTGGCCAGGAATCACAGTTGAAGAACCTGTGTCTAGTACAATGGGAGATTGCAGCTTTGAATCTGCATGCATCTGTTTTGGCTTCTTCTCAGCGTCATTCTTTGTGATTCTTGGCTATACAGCTTGTATGCATGAAAAAATAAAGAAGAATCGAACCGCTGATGTTTTTAACTAAGGAGGTTTTTTTTTTTTCTAACCAGGACCAACTAAAGACACATGCGACTCTCAGTACAACTTCAACTAGATCCCTTGAAGAGGATACCCCTTCACAGCAAATGGAATCATCTGTGCCATTGGTGAAGGGAACCCATCCCAATCAGTCATCTGGGAAGCTTTCATTTGCAGGACGGGAACTAGCCTCTAAGAGTTCAGTGCAAAACCTCCCTGTCAGCAGTGGGAGAAATCTAGACTCGCCAAGTGTGACCTCTACGGTCTCGTCAGTGTTAAAGACGACGGAGGGGTCGCCTCAGCAAACCTCCCCATCATGGGGTGATGCAGACAAGCTTAGGTCTTCTGTGAGCTCCACCAGGGAAGTTCTGGCCCGACTGCAAGCCATCAAGGAGAGATCGAAGAACTTGGGGGCTTCTCAGGAACAACCGGCTGCATTGCGATCAGTCCAGGATGGATGCAGACACACCGCCTCAGATAAACCCAGGCATGAACTCTTACAACCAGCTAGCCGCTCACCACAAGAAACTCACCAACAAACTACGCCCATCACCCCTTCAGCATCTCTCAATACCAAACAGCTACCAGCAGATGCGCCGAGACCGAAATCAAAATCTTCCTCACCTGTGAAAAACCTTCTTACCACTGCATCAGGGGCTACCAGGCTGCCGTTTGCTGTGGACGGTAGATTCACACTGTCGGCGGAAGAACTTGAAGTGAGAGCGGTGACCCCTCCGAAGACACTGCCGAGTCCAGCAAGGCAAGAACTGAGGTACAGCTGATTAATCTCAAAAGAGATTGTGTTTGTATGGGGCTAGCAAGTTTTTCATTGTTGCCAAAACTCCAGTGTCTTGGTCTGTCGGAGCTAGTTCTGTTGGACCTTGCCACCGTTGGATCCTGTGGTGGCCCTCAGGTTTAGGTTTCTGCTGCTGCTTGGCTTTGGAAACTGTTGACCCGTTGGATCTTGCTGGTATGCTGAGGAGGTTTCTTGCTGGGACAACTGTTTCACAGACCCACATTTAGCGAAGGGTTTGTCTAGTTTACTGAGTGTTAATATTAATAAAGTCCATTTTTTGCATGCATAGGAAATCTAGACCCGGAGAAACATCCTCAGACCCTGACTGTTACAGCTCATCCTCTGATGAACCGAATCAGCATATGCCATCAGTAATGCCCCAAAGCAAGGTCATAGGTCAAAGGTGAGAGTGTGTGTACCTTGCAAAGGTCATTTGTTACCGAGTCTGCAATAATGGATCTTCTTTAACCTGAATGAAAGTTTGAGTTACTTGAGGAATGAGTCAGAGCCTTGCAGACTAAAGGAGATAAAATGCTGCTATCAACACATATGATTTGTTGTACGTGTGTAAATTGGAAATTGAATAAAATGTATAGTAAATTGAACAAAATAGGTATTCTGTGAAACTTCATTTTAGATTGTAGCGCACATGGGAACATTTTAGCAGCCGCCATAGCTGAAGTATTGAGCTTGTAAATGCTGTCTCATTGAATCGGCAATTACATCAACTCAAAACTGCCCAATTTTCATCATCAGCTGAGGATCGATAAGTGAAAACTTTGAAAAGACTACTGTCATCAAACCACGATTTTCTGGGTTTTGCCTTGTGTTTCGTGCAGGCTTCTCAAGCAGATCTCTTTAGCTTCTGATCAGTCACCAGCCTCAGACTTGCAGGAAGGGCTGTACTCTCACATCAAGAAGACCTCGGGCATCCTGGTTCACGGTGACCGGCCTCCCAGACCCATGATTTCAGTCGAGCAGGCACCCTTCCCAGATTCTATCCGAAAGGTATGAGCTAATCTTGAGTTGGAGTTGACACTCCGTCACCGTCACAGTGGTGATAAATTCTCCTCAGTCCACAGTGCATCTTGCTTTCTTTTTGCCATCAAACTGAAGAAATCAAATCTAGCAGAGTGTCTTCAAAGTCATCTATTCTTAAGAAATTCACAGCAGGGATTGGATACCATACCTTCTGAGGAAACATCGTGGACCCACCTGTCACTTGCGTGATATTTCGGCTTGAGATCAATTTTTCACCAGATTAGGCATGGGCTGTATGTGGCTCTGAATCCTGTCTACTCCTTCGTTGACAGCCTGTCAAGCTCAAGATAGATGTTGACCCAAATTTTCAAGATGCTTGTAAACAGGAGAGTGCTCGGTGTGTTAATTTCACAAGATTTTTGTGCTACACCTTGAAACTGTGTAGATCCGTCAAAATCCATAGGGAGGTTTTGGGAGATTCTTCAGGGCTGCCAAAGAGAGGCCAGCCATTACATGGGGCTGAACCACCCTTTAAAGTACCAAGAATATGCCATTTGTTTCCAGTCCAGTGATAAGGTTTGAAGGATTCAGGAATATTTGCAGCAAGAATGCCAAAGGATACTCTAAAAAGCTTATCGGTGCTCCCTTTTATATTGTTCCTCTGCAGAAACTGTCCCAGCTGGGCTTCCCATCTCCCAGTGACATCCAAGCTTATTCCTGGCCGATCATTCTCAGAGGGACGGACATGGTTGGAGTGTCCGCCCCCAGGACTGGGAAGAGCCTAGCTTTTCTGCTTCCACTCATTACTCAATCATTGCAACCATCCACATATTCCTCACTGCCACCCGGCAACGGGGTGAGTAAAAGTACTCAGCTAAGTGACCTTTTGACTTGACGCACGACCTACCGACCCTAAATTTGGGCTTTTCAAAATGTTTATATTAATAATATAAAAGTGATAGCTTGTCCAGTGCTATATTTAGTAAAAAAAATCTGTTCACTGTGCTATGAGAGAAATCTACAATGAACATGAACAAACAGGTAAGTTTTCAGCATTATAAGTTATGGACTTGTTTATGCTAGGCCATCTTTGTGCCTAAAGTGGATGTGAATGTGTGATTGATGAATATGCAAGATTCATTACAAACATGTCCGTAGTCTCATTACCGACTTGTTATGGTGTCCACTACAGTCCTGCAGCTCTGTGCTTAAATTACTAGTTTAGGAATATTTGTGTCACCCATTTTCCATCGTCCATTAGCCTCTGGTGATCATTGTCTGTCCAAGATGGCGGAAGGCAGCCGAGGTGTATGACCAGTGCTGTAAGTTCTTGCCCACTCAGCGGGGAAGCAAGGTCATACTCATCCATGGTGCTGGGTCTGAAGAACAGCAAGAGGTAGGGTTGGAGGTTATTGGCATGGTGCATGAACTACAGAGGGGGGTGTTGAGGCCTCCTAGTGGTGCAAAAACTAGTTCCAGCAATGGTACTTTACTTTTCTCTCTCCTTGGGAGTGTGTACGTGATAAGTTTTCAAGTAAATGTGCCAAAAGGATGATAAAAACGTGATAAGTTTACAAGAGAATTTGTCTAAAATTCATCTTAACCCTCCTTTGGTTTTACAGCACAAATGTGCACAAATGCCCACAGTCACTGGTGAGCATGTAGTTTCTATATGGAACTCAAACATGCACAGGTTCAGTGTGTACACAGTAGATTGCCGGCACAAAATGACCCAGGGTCTTTTGTGCAATCCTCTTCACTGCATTTGGTTTACTGCACAATGATGCAC